TTATTTGGTGTTGAAAAAAAAAATTAAAAAAAAAAATTAAAAAAAAAATATTTTGATTGGAAATAAGTGACACACCATAAGAATTATGAGGTTTTTCTAGGGGTAATCTTTATGCTTATTGAACTCATTCCCCATTGCTCCTTTCTCTTTGGTTACTAAGCCTAAATGACTTTCTCATCTAACCTTAACCTTGGTCACATTACAACCTAAACAAAGTCCTTTTGATCTTTAAATTGCATGTGTTTCAAGTTGCTGAAATTAGAGGCTTGTCAAAACTTGGATGTGCTAGTTTTCATGATGTGTTGAGTGTAAATATGCCCCTAAACACTTGAGAATTGAGTGCAAACACTTCCCTGTGAGATCTGTCATTAATGGATCATTCTTTGGTTTATTTTGTCCTCTTACTTGCTTTAAATGTCAATTATGTCTTATAGATTGTTTGTTACCTTGATTCTAGGAATGTTTGTTCTCTTTCTCTTTTCTATGCATTGAAAAATCATTAGAAAGTTATGAAATTTTGTAAATTACTTCTTTTTGTTTTTCCTTCATATTTGTATAAAATTTTCAAGTTTTGCCCGGAGTGCAAAGATTTAAGTGTGGGGGTATTTGATAGATACATTTTTACTCATTCTTTTATGTTTGGTTTATAGTATTTTAGGCTAGTGTTGATGTTATTTTGTTATTTTTTAGATTTGTTTTGATTTAATAAGTCAATTTAGACATTAGTTGTAATTTTTGGTTAATTTTCGTATTTTTTCCAGTTTTGTACAGTTTTCTTGCGCAGACCATATCTGGAGGTACAGACCTCGGATTTGGACGTTCTTGGTGTCGTTGGAAAGATAAGAAAAAGATCTGCAACTTCTCTGTTGGACGAAAGACCCAGTTCAAACTTTAAGGATGTATAATTTTGCTCACAAATTCTCAGCCCTGTGCAGGATTATACAGATTTTCCTGTCTATATTGTTTTAGTTGATTAGTTATTAAAAAAATAACTCATTAGTGGGTTAGCCCATCAGTTTAGGCCCAATTATCATGTCTATAAGCTTCTGCAGCTTACATTAAAAGGGAGGAGGTTCTTTTTCTACTCAATTTTTTTCTTTTTTTTGGGAGAATTCAGAATATAGATTACAAAACTTTCCTATTCTCTTTTTACTGTTCATCTTCTCTTTCTTTTCTTCTCTCTCGATAAAAAAATTCAAATGTTTGATCGCATTAGTTCAACATCATCAATTGAAATGGAGAACTACAAAGTTACACCGATTCAAGGAAAGCAAAACGCATAAAATAGGTATAAATCCGAATTCATCTCTTGTTTTGAATTGTGTTGTTTCACGATTGTGAATGCATTATTAAATACAAATTATTTTTGAATTTATTAAACAACGTATCAGATTCAATACGGTAATGGATTCATAGAATGCGATTGCATTTTTCGTTCCTAATTCGGAAATAGGTTGTAATTGGATTCGGTTTAATTGAGATTGTTGCGGAATTGTGATTCTTGAATTGGATTTTCATTAAGTGTGATTCAATTTTGCTGCTATTATAATTTTTGTTCATACAAACTGTTTGATAAAATTCCCCACCCCAATTCTTTTATTAGTTTGTGATAATTCAACAAAATACAATTGGTTTATGTCTTTGTGATTCGACCTAGGTTAATCCCACTATTTTGCAAAATAATCTTGAGAACCTAGTATTGTTTGATAGTGCCTTGACAACGCTATCATTAACCTATTCATCTCTAATTTATGCTCTCTATGTTTTCCAAATAGAGAATAAATATTAATCGTTGTAAGATCCTTCGATTCTTTGGTTATTGTTTTTTTTTTACTACTAACTTTTATCAAGACAATTTAGAGTATTCACGTTTAACTCTTACTTTTTGAATGTCTTGCCTAGTCCTATCAAATGGTTGATAATACGAGTAAATCTCTTTTGTATACTAAACAACACATAATCTTGAATCTTGAACCAACATATGCTTTCTCACTCTCTTAATGTCAACCGTGCATTCATGAATGACTTCCAAAGAAGAAATTTGTGCATTGATAGAAATGAAAGAAATCATCAAGATTCAAATCAAAGGGTATGATGTTCTTTGCCTTGGAGTCATATTAGGCTTGTATGTTCTCAACTCTAGTCTAATTAGTTGAAGGTTTTTCTTTTTATATATTATTTATCCAAACAAATGGAAGTAACAATAATATATTAAATGCCCCTGTCAATTGATTCAATGAAAATTTGTGTCACTTTCAAGAACTTATAATTCACCACACTAAATGTTGGTGGTATATTGAGCACATTAAGCAAACAAAAGCTTATGCTCAAAGAGTTTGAAAACCTTGAGTAACTTTTAAGAACTTGCTCTTGATAAAATTATTGAAAATAATGAATAAATTTAAGAGGGGAATGAATTGAACTTTTAAATCAAATTTTATGATATTCTTCGCCCTAGAGTCATATTAGACTTGTATGTTCTCAACTTCAGTCTAATTAGTCTAAGGTTTTTCTTTCTATATATCATTTATCCAAATAAATGGAAGTAACAATAATATCTTAAATGTCTCAGTCAATTTATTCAATGAAAATTTGTGTCACTTTCTAGAACTCATAATTCATCACACTAAATGTTGGTGGTATATTGAGCACATTAAGCAAACAAAAGCTTATGCTCAAAGAATTTGAAAACCTTAAAGTAACATTTAAGAACTTGCTCTTTGATACAAGTTATTGGAAATAATAAACAAGTTCAAGAGGGGAGTGAATTGAAATTTTAAAGATTGAATAATGTTGGGTTGATGAAAATATTACATTTTGAAAAGTCCCACATTACATTGGATAAGCAATGAAATGAGTGATAGTAACTATATAATGGGCTTAAAGTCCATGAGGTTTCTCACCTTAGTCAAAGATAATTTAAACTTGTATTTGACTTTTCTTATATTCTTGTAGTAGAGTGTTGTGAGGTTTAGTTTAAATTATTGATTCGGAGAGTGTGGATATACTTGGGGTCAAGGGCATGACAGAATTGTCTATGTGTTGTAAAAATTTTCACATAGTATTATTCTCTGGTTATCATTAGATAACGGTCGTGGTTTTTCTCCAGTTTTTGGAGTTCTCATGTTATATTCGTGTATTGATTGTTTTTCTCTTATTCTCTATTAGTAGAGTAATTCTTGGAGATAAATGGTAATATTCTTTATGACTTTTTTCCCATCAAATAATAATAGGATGATCAAAATTTTCTTTGAATAATATCAGACAATAATTTATTGGATCAATTGTAGGTCAATGTTGTTAGCCACAAATACATCGGATAATATATTCAAGAATGTAAAGTGCAAGGTAAGGAAAAAGAGTAATGTGTATAAAATAACCCTACCTTAAAATAAGATAAAAATAATACAATCAGTTATCTATAACCCTACATGATCATTAAACCTCACATGAAATACTATCATGCAACTATGTACCCTAATCAAGAAACCACTCTAACCACACTAGATAATTGGTACATTCATCAACTAACATTACACACATAAAATAAATAAGGTTTTTACTATGTTAATAACTAAGTATCAATTTATTATTTAAATATAAGTAAAAGTTTTTTTTATGATTAATGATATTATTTTAATAGTTTAATTAATTGAGATCCTATTTTTACTTATTATTTTTAATATCAAGCTTTAAGGACTTTTATGCCTACCAAAGGAAATAAGACAAAGAAATGAATTTTTCTTTCTTTATTTAAACGATTCTCCTCACTCGTTGTGCCTCGAGCTTGAGACTAATGTACTAAGACGGTCTGAACATAACTTACCAACTAAATTAATAGTAAACTATAAAAAATTACCGAATAATCAAGGTTAACTATGATTAGAAGACACTACAAAAAAAATGCTTATTATCTACGGGTAAAATCCGTAGGTAATGCACTCACCTAAAACAAAATATTTTTATTTATTACAACCCCCTCCCTTATTTTTTATTATTATCTAGGACCCCCCTCCCCTTTACATTATATTTTCGGAACTTTGAATTATTATTAGATTAAGGAAATTGTCATTGGCAGGATTCGAACCCAATACCTCGTAGTTGGAGGTCGATACTCCAACCACTAAGCTATTAGGATATTTTGAAAATAATTTACAAATAAATTATATTTATATTTATCCGTGTAAATATATAAATATAAAATATATTTATATTTTGATATATTTATATATTTGTATTTATATATTTGTATTTATATATTTATATATTTATATTTATATATTTATATTTATATATTTATATTTATATATTTATGTATTTATATATTTATATATTTATGTATTTATGTATTTATGTATTTATGAATTTATATATTTACACGAATAAATATAAGTATAATTTAGTTGTAAATTATTAGTAGAATATCCTAATAGTTTAGTGGTTGGAGTATCGATTTTCAACTTTAAGGTACTCGAGTTCGATTCTAGCTAATGACAATTCTTTTAGTTTAATATAATTTACCTACGGATAGTAATTCCCGTAGGTAATGGATAATTACTCACTGGATATAATTCCGTAGGTAATGTACACTTTACCTATGGATAGTAATTACGTAGGTAATTACCTACGAATAGAATTCCGTAAGTAATATCCGTAGGTAATGTACAATTTACTTACGAATTTTCATCCGTGGGTAATATCCGTAGGTAATGTAAAATTTACCTACGGATTTGTATCCGTAAATAATATTCCGTAGGTAATACGCTTTTTTTTGTAGTGAGAAATCTTAGATCTCGGGAAAGAACAAACCCATTTAAAACAGCATATAAATGATATTATTATCAAGTATTTACTATTCATTAACATATTATATTTATTATATTATATTATATTATATTATATGCTTTATGTTGACTTAATCACATTATTTTTTAACTATTTTCTCATCTAATAAAAAAGCCACGGTTCAAGGAGCATTGAAAGACAAGTTTAAAGAGTGAATGAGATATAGAATAATCCATTTGAAGGTTGGAGAATTCTCTATTTCGTAGAAACAACCTTTTACGATTATTTTTTAAATATGATAAATAAATTAAATTATATTCATCAATTTTTTAATTATAATATAAAATTGATTAATTTTACCTATATTTAAGTGCTGTATAAATAAAATAGTGAGAGGCTCTACTCTCCACCATCCAAAATAATTTTGTGATTAAAATTAAAAGAAGTTTTAATTAAATAATCGAAAAATTATTTTATTTTACGGTGTGCTTTCCTAAATATCAACACAAAATTATAATTAATAATACATAGAAAAAAAATATTGATAAAGAATTATTTCTGATAACCAAACTCTTGAATTCTATAACCTATTAACTAATTTTTAAAGAGTTATCATTTTATCACAACGATTAATTATTTTAAAAGATAAGTAAATATACTTACTTTTTTTTTCTCTCATTTAACTCAAACATGAAACTTTGTCCCAGAATAAAATCCAAACATAAAGCTTATTTTATGATGAACAACAACTATAACCAATGGTGTCCTTTGAAATTCATCTAATCCAATGCATGGCAACCCCAGCAAGTGCGAACTGAATCCATAAGAACCTCTAATTCCTTGCTTCTGAACCACATAATCGGTGGAGGTTGAAGCCCCCAATATTGTAATTAGCATGCATGCGAAGCAAGTTATCCTTAATTCAAATCCAACTCCAATATCAAAGCATATACATCACAAGCAAGGTGGCAGTGAATCCACTCTAACGTATCTATCCCACACCATCTTTGTCCCCTCACAACCACGTCCCATTCACTTCCAACGCTGCATTTATATATATATATACAATCTCCTTCCATGAACCCCACATAACGTTTATCACCATTCTGTGTTCACTCTAAGGCACATAAAAGACATCACTTGCAATACTAGTCGGAAAACATGTCGGATTGGGGTCCAGTGTTTGTTTCGTTGGTGCTGTTCGTGCTCTTAACCCCAGGGTTGCTGTTTCAGATACCTGGGAGGGGAAGGTGCGTGGAGTTTGGGAACTTTCAAACAAGTGGTGCGTCCGTACTCATTCATTCCCTCCTCTACTTTGGCTTCATATGTGTGTTCTTGCTGGCTGTAAAGATCCACTTGTACCTCGGATAGGTCATTTTACACCTTAATCACAGCCACATAAGGAAATCATTTTTTGTTGGGGTATTCGGATATTTCAATTCATCCATGTGTCTGTTTTTTATTTCATTGTTCTGCATGTTTTGTTATGCCCGTTCTGCTTCCATGTAATAACAACGGGTGGTTCATGTGGGTGTAATTTTTACCTTTTTTTTTCTTGATACCGAATTTGATCCATTGTTTTGCTATTAATGAATGTCACTTCTACTTGATTTTATTCAATTGCATAGTTGTCTACGTTGACCCCTGCTAAAAGGAGCAAAACAAGAACCATAATACGTAACAGGTATTGATGGTTGGTGGAGGAATCCACTAAAATGTTAAATTTTGGATTAAATTTACAGCATTAATACAACTCGTACGAATCCTTTATTTGATTTGGTATAAAGATCGAAAATTAAGATCTTCAAAACGAGTTTTGAATAATAAAAAATAAAATTAAATATTTTATTATAGATTCTACACTTGATTGACATATCTAATTAATTTTCTTTTAATTTTAAATAATTATTTTTATTTTTAAACAATTCAGATATAAAATTTATAATTAAATATTTATTTTTATTTTTAAACAACTTTTAATAACAGCTCCTATTAAAAATACTCTGAAAAGGTGAAGTATTTCTCAACCGATCATTAACACCCTCCAATTCAAATAATTCCTTCTCGAACCTCTTTTTATTAATATAATAATGGTAAAAAAATTAATAAAAATAAAAATAAATTAAAATTATTATTATAATATTAAAAATGAGTTATTTTTAAAGTGGTATGAATTTAAGTTTTCAAAATATTTTTTTTCTAATAAATTATAATATTTAATATTTCTCTTGGTTACACAATTTTTTTTATTTAATATAAAATTTTAATTCATATTTAAATTTCTAATAATCTCTTTATAAATATAAAATATTTCTTAAGTTTGAGTATTTAGTACTACTCTTATACCATGTCTATAACAAGATCCATTAATAAAAATTTATCACATAATTAACTAAATAAATTAGAACACAAATCATATATTATAACTTGACCAACTTATAATAGGTATGCCCTTAATTATTAACCCTTATAAATAATTATTGTAAACTGTATTTGTGATAGATTAGAATTCATTGTATATTTTTTTCTAATCCTCCAATTTTAACGTGAACTTTGGTTTCCGTCATTAGGTTCCAATTTTCTATATTTCTCTTCTTCCTTGTTTCCTGTCTTACGTTTCTCTCACTCTCGACATCCCATCCATCATACAACTGGTTTATCTTCGTATCATCGTAACTTCTAATATCACTTTTGAATCTCTTTTGAGAAAGACTAATATAACAAAATAATTACAAATATGACCATAAGTTGTTTTTAAAAATAAAACGTTATTTTTAAATTAAAATTTTATAACTTTTAAGTTACGTGTTATTCAATTTTTTTAATTTACTCACCATTAGATTTTAACTAATATTTATATTCTCAATAAATAGTTACACATTATTTATTCTAATTAAATAAATAATGATGTAAAATGTTAATAATATATTATTATTGTATTGTTAGTGTGTTTTTGTTATATATTTAACAAATAAAGAATTATGTAAAATATAACTCTTAAAATAATTATTATATATAAAAATAATCGTGAATATTATAAAAATCCTTTTCATTTTTAAAAATGTATATTTTTAATTAACACGATCCGTGAATATTCGTAACTTTATTCATTCAACTATCACATTGCATTGTTGCCCGACGACAAATAAGTGAATCCGAAGTAAAAAGCACTTTTGAGTAATTTATAATTAGATATACTAAATTAAATTTATGGGAAAGAGAAGGTAATGATTTTTTTCCTGGCATAGCATTACTTGAATATAAATAGTCAAGTATAGCATACTGTGCTTAACATTTACACGATTAGCACAGTTTTAAAAAAGTGTGTGTTGCAAATCAAATTCTGACATATATTTTTAATAAATTTTTTAAAATAAATGTTAAATATATATATATATATATATATTAAATTTTTATTTATATAATTATATCAAATCAATATAAATATTTTTTTACATATCATAAAAATATATTTATATAATTATATTATTAATATATTTTTATAAATAGTAAATACAAATATATTTAATATATATATATATATATTTAAATATTTATTTATCTTTTTATAAATATAATAAATACATGTATATTTATATATTTAATAAATATATATTTATATCTTTTTATATACATAATAACATAAATTATATATATATATATATATATATATATATTAAGTATAAATAATATTTGTTTTATAAAAATATATAAATATTTTTATTATATTTGTATATATTTATAAATCCTAAATCTTAAATTCTAAACTATAAATATATTTATACATTTAACAAATATATATATATATATATATATATATATATTTTATATAATATTTAAATATTTATTTAATAAAAAAGATGTTTAGTAAATAAATATAATATTTATACAAAAAATAATTTTATTTAATTTCGATACAATATAATATAGATTTGGTATAAATATTTTGTTAAAATTCTATATAAATTGAAATTTTAATTAGATAATTTGAGCAAGATATACTATTTGAATTAAAGTGAAGTAATATTTTAGATATTAAATCAATAAAATATGAATAAGCAACTAAACATGAACAAACAAGTTCGAAAAGCACAAATAAGTAGAATAATTATTTATTTAATGATTATAATGTCATATTACAAAATTACAGTAGATTTATCTATGAGAAGTTGATCCCCTAAGGCCAGGATTATGTGGACAATGATTTCTTGTATGACAATAGGAACATTTCTTTGGGTGACTTTCTTCACAGATATCCATTTTAATCCTAATTCATGTTGACTTTGGACGACTCTTGAAACTTCTTCTTGTTGCTGGGTTGAGGCAAAGTTGTAGACCTTGATGTGATGACCAATAATCTTCGTGCCTAAGCTCCCAAACAAATTATCATACACTTTTTTAACTACATCCAACCTGTAAACAGGATTGATGTACATCTCATAATCATGGTGAGCATGTTTGCACGCTGCAACCACATGGTAGGAAATTTTAGGTAGTCATGTGAGTGGTAGGAGAGTTTAGGTAGACATGTGAATAACATAAAAGTTATGTGATCATCCAAATGGTAAGAAAGTTTAGATAAATATGTGAGTGACATGAGAGTTAGATAGTCATGTGAGTGGTAGAAAAATTTAGGTAGACATGTGAGTGATATAAGAATTAGGTGGTCATACGAATGGTAAGTAAATTTAGATAGACATATGAGTGACATGAAAGTTAGATAGTCATGTGAGTGGTAGGAGAGTTTATGTAGACATGTGAGTGACATAAGAGTTATGTGGTCATGTGAATGGTAAATAAATTTAAATATACAAGTATTTATTAAATATCTTATTATATATATATATATATATTATATAAATCCATATTTAGATTTATTTGTATTTTTCTAATATTATAATATATATATATATATATATATTTATATTTATAAAAGTATATATAAATATATTAAACATATAATTATACAATATATTTTTATTATATATAAAAGTATATATTTATATTTATTATATATTATATTTAATAAAGTCATAATGTATATAATAAAATATAAATATGTATTTATCATATTTATAAAAATATATTAAAATATAATAAAAATATTTATATATAATTTTATATTAAAATTATTTTATATTATATTAATAAAAATGTATTTATCATATTTCTATAAAAAATATTATTTTTACTTACTAAAGTTATTTTATATTAAAAATATATTTAAATAATATATATATAATTTATTTATATAAAAATGTTATCTAGAAAGATATAATATATTTATTAAATTTTATTATATTTATAAAAAGATAAATAAATATTTAAATATTATATATATATATATTCAATATATTTGTATTTACTATATTTAGAAAAATATATTAATAATATAATTATATAAATATATTTTTATGATATGTGAAAAAATCTTTATATTGATTTGATATAATTATATAAATAATTTTTTTAATATATATATATATATAATATTTATTTAAAAAATTATTAAAAATATATGTCAGAATTTGGCTTGCAACAGACCAAATGCTGACTTTTTATCAAAAGTGTGCTGGTGTAAATTTTATCTACAGTACGTTATATTTAAATATTTATATTCAAATAATGCTACGCCGAAAAAAAAAATCGAAGGTAATACATTATTGGAATTTTTTTAATATATTTATTATTAAATAAAGTTTCATATAAACCTTACTTTTTACATTTTTTTTTCAATTATAATATTAATACGAATTATTCGTAATCATTAAAAATAATAATAATAATAACACAGTCAACTACCTTAAATACATATATACAAGGACTTTTACATAAATACGTCAAAAAATTATTATTATTTTAACTATAATAACGATAATAGATTTGTTACAATATAAGTATTTTATTTATTTTATATTTAAAATAAACATAACATTTTGCTTAAGAAAAACTCTTTTTAATTAATAATGCTTCTGTTAATATTGTCCATTCAAGAATAAACGAATCACTGTTCAATATAAAAAAAGTTGCTTAAAGTTAGGTTGATGACATTGTAAAGTAATAACGATAGAATTTTTTTTATCTAAAGTAGTTTATTTTCATTTGTTCTTCAAGTAAATGGTTCATTATATTAGAATAAACTGCAAATATGACATATTGTTATAAAAAACAAAGTGATTAAGATTTTTAAATAGAAAGAATGATAATATAATTTGAGCCTCTTTTATTCTAGTAAAATATAATTTATCCTTAAATTTATTAAATAAAGATTTTTACCAAAAGAGCTTTACTTTATACTAAAAATAAATGAAATTATTTTTTTATTTTACTGGTACCATAAAATTTAAATTAGCATGTTAAATATATAGAATATGTATATATATAAATTTTATATCTTATTTTTCTTTGTTGAGAATCTAAGTATAAATTAAAATCAAATGACTTATAAGTAAAAAATGTATAAACCAAAAATTTTAAATTTTTTATCGAATTTGATATTATATCCAATTTTTAAGAATATTTACGTTTATGTTAGATATCCATCTCTGTGTAATTCTTAGTTTGCATAATGAATTCAAATTTATAATATTTTTCTCATTTGTTAACAATTAAAAAATCAATCTTCCAAATAACAACATATATACTTATTCTTAGTAGTTAACGTTTCACTAAAAATAACAGGACGAAAACAAAAAACAATTTTTATCAATGTATTTAAAGGAATACTAGAAATGTGAGACAGAGGTGATTGAAAAGGAAAAAAGAAAAAAAAAAAAAACGAAAAGAAGAAGAAGAAAGAATTAGAAAGTGAAGAATCATAATTGTAGAAAGAATAAGCGTAGAAAACTTGTCCTTAAAGAAAAGTAACACGAGATTGCATCAAGCTACAAGGAAGTTGATCTATGTTTTTGGTTTTCAATTATACCTTGCTTCTTTGCTTCAATTTCCTGAATCGAATAGCCTCAGACCCAGATCAGAATCATTCTTCAGTCTCCTATTTAACAAGGCTAGCTTACAAATGAACACAGGGCTTTGAGTTGATTGAAAAGTGAGAGATTGGTGAAGTGGTGATCACAATCTAAAACTAGTTGTTGTTACAATTGTTGTGATGGCAGCAGATTGGGGTCCTGTGGTGATATCAGTGGTGCTGTTTGTGCTGTTAAGTCCAGGGCTTCTGTTTCAGCTTCCTGCCAAGGGCAAAGTGGTGGCCTTTGGGAGCATGCAAACTAGTGGCCTATCTATCTTAGTCCACACCATCATCTTCTTTGGACTCATCACCATCTTTCTACTTGCCATTGGTGTGCACATTTACTCTGGATAATCAATCACCTTCTACCAATCTATTCTGTTATTTTCTCTATGATTGCTGCTTTCCATTTTGTTCTTATTTTTATGTTGTTGTAACGTAACTCTTAAGATGTGATCGAGGATAGATGTCTTAATTTCATCGTTCATTTGATGTTGATCTATGTGCTTCTTCTTACTCATTTATGGACAAATATGTGACTCTTCATGGTTTGGAAAAAGGTTCTTTTACACCCGAACATCCTAATTTTTAGTTTGATTTGTCGTCACGATGAGTGGTTCAGAATCATGTTGAAATACTAAATATTTACACGTTTGGTCACTAAATTATTATCAATAAATAATTTGTATTTTATGTTTTACTTAATTTTATTCTCTTTCATTGAAATCAAACCAAGGAAAGTATTAATATGTTAGACTTTCCTGCCAACTAATTCCTAGAAGCAAGTACAAAACAATTAACTAGTTAGATTAATTAAATACGTTGATTAGATTAATCAACTACCCACATTTGTTTCGGGAAATTTTTGGAAGAGTTGTGTTGAAGTGACGATTTTGGGGGAAAAGAAATATTTAGCTTTTGTTTGATGGAGACAAGTTGAAATGGGTGATTAAAACCGTGTGGGTCTGGCCTTCGCAAAGAAAAACCTTTTTTATGCAAAGAAAACTGAGATATAGCTTTTAAAAGACGCCAAAAGTACAATTTTATATGTATAAGACACTTACATTTTACCACATTTCTCTTGTCCCATCACGTGTAGAACTTCAGTTGTTTATCATATTATTATTCATTTTCCTCCATTTCGATTTTCGACCTAATCAAACAAACAGAAAATATCCTGCGTTTTTTCCTTTCTTTTCCTTCTTTTTATCACTTTATCTTATATCGATTTTATCTTTATTATTATTTTATACAAGATTTTATTATTATAAAAAATTGTAGAACAGTTATATATAATAAATAAATTATCAAAATATCATTTAGTTGGGTAAAAAACTTGTTAATAAGACAACTTTCTTCTCCTGAGTCATCAATCATACTTTCCCTTTCATTACAGTACATATACCATGCTTGGAAATGAAAAAAAGAGAGGAATTTCAGAAGCCTATATACTTCAAAATTTACAAAAGTCATAATACAGATAAATAAAACAATTGACAGTTATAGACATTAGCTGGAAAGGTCCCCATTTCTTGATTCTTCAGAAGTTGGCTAATTGTAATTAAAAGAGAAGCCATAGCCACAAACTTTAGTACTTTTCACAAAAGCTTGATATTCAACACTCCTGCTTTTAGTGAGAGAAGTTCGGTAATCTTCGTTGTTCTATGGGCTGCAAGAGCCTGCAGGCCCAAAACCAGTATCGCACTGGTCAACTCCATTATTTATCTTTTCACATAAGTTTCCACTCTGAAACAGCAAAAATTGTAATGAAGCTCTTAGGCTCGTGATCCAACCAAAAAGCGTGATACAATCAAAGACATAAACTGCGCTGTTGAGTCAAAACAAACAACAGAAATGTTGAACTCCATATGGGGCTAATATAGCAATTTATAAGATGTACACCACACAAATGATATTTGAGCAAAGCTTCTAAACAATAAAGTGGAATTTGCTTATCAATTTGGAAGCTTTTAACTGTAGTTTATATGAATTATGTATCAAAGTCAAGCAACGGCAGAACTTCCCTACCTAATCAGAGAAAGGCAGAATTGATACTTATCCAGCCTCAAATAACATTAATATACAAACTTCAATCATTTACTAACAAGAATGTCCAAAACCAGCGGATGTTGTATTTTATATGATACTCTTGACTGTTGTAAAACAAAACCGATTCTGCAGATTCAACCCTTGATTGAAAAATAATGTAACATTTCTTCTAATGGATTATTCAAAGGCCATACACCAAGACAGTCTATCTTATTTTCATAATTTTCACACTACTAGGAGCTCCCAATAGAATTTGAACCTAAATTTTTCAATGAAGTATGAATTATTATGAATTTGTTTCAAAAAGAAGATTACAATAACCTACAATAATGAATGAACAAAGACTTTACCACAAAGCTTTATTGTCAAACAGCTGGTTTGCGACATCCTGGTCCTTTGTGGTAATAGCAAATTCAGTATCTACATGATACTGAATTGCAGCCTATCTATCCGTGATATGACTATTATCAATTCCCCAAGAGCTCTGGTGGTTATAAGGGACTCAATAAGTAAAGTTGAAAAATCTTATCCTGAATCTTTAACAAAATGGACCATTAAGGCACAAGTGTAACAATTTTCCAGTGAATTTATTACTTATAAGTTTAAAACTGACAAAAGCTCAAACAATCCAGAGGTGAGGAGGAAAACAACACTGCCAAAGACCAAACCAGAAATCATAAGAACAAAACAATCCAGATATGAAAAAAATAATTAAAAAACAATTTCCTTAATATCTTTCGCACTACACTATCCCAAAATTCAAGCAAATCTAAATGCATAAAGAGCAGGTGCATGTACAGAAAACCATACAAACAAATGCTAAGCTTGAGAAGAGATGTGCTGGGCACGAGAAGTTTATTAATTGATGATCTTGTGAAGAGTTTGTAATGCACTTTTTTATGCATATATCTCTGCACCCAATATTCAATTAAATTCTGATTTTTAAAATGTCATGTTTAGGAACGCTTGTCTCAATTTTTTGGAAAATAATTGTTTTTCTTTTCATAATTTCATTCTACAATATTAAAAAAAAAAAAAAAAAAAATTCCTCAGCCAAAGTCGATGAAACTAGCAAGCCTTCCGAACAATGAACCTTAGAGGTAACCTGCCAAAATTAGCCTAATAATAGGAGTTTCAGTAGTTTATGCAAGGTTTTAGGATTAAATTCTATAACTCATTAAATAGAGGTAGAGCAAAAGCAACCATTTTTCAACATTTCAAACATCAACAACCAATTGGGCTAGCCCTCAAAAAACGCACTATTATTCCTCCAAATTCGACTGTAAAGGCGGAAAACTCTGAAAATTCGAGGGGTAAAAGGGAAAAGAACACAAAAACTAACAGGGAAACTTCCTCTTGGTCCTCACAGACTACAACACAAACAAAAGATATCAGACAGATAAACAGGTAAGTAAACAGACATATATCCAGAATAATTGCAATATCTATCATCGATTTCCTTCTGATTCTAGCGATAATAGATTAACAAACAAAACGAAATTTAAATTTCTGGAGCAGATAAAAAATAAACACATGTTAATGTTTCTTACCAGAAAGATCTTTACGCGGCAAGACGAAACAGAGAATGGAACGCCCCAGAACGGAGAGAGCGGAAACGACAGCAGCGACGTAGAACACCATCACGAATCCTAGAACCCACGGCATCAGCATAAACCCGATGAAAAAAGTCACCGATCCGCAGAGCATGAGAGCCACCGAAATCCCCAGAAGAAGAGAAGCGAACCCCGCCGGTGTTATCTGAGCCCCCTGCGGCGAGCGCCTGGTGGGAGGCTCCGGCACGAGCGGCGAGCGTCTGGTCGGAGGCTCCGGCACGAGCGGCGGGGAGCGCAGGAGGTTGAAGACCAGAGCCGACAGCTCGCAGAAAACCCTTGATTGTTGATCTTCCCGTCCTCTCATGGTATTAATTTTTGAAAAAATAAATGAAGGGAACAAGAAAAAAGATGCAATAATCGGAAATAATGGGAAAAAGTGATTTAATTGAAATGAAAATGGTATTTATAGAAAGGAGGAAGATGAGAAGCAAAACGTGATTTGCAATAAAGTGTTTGATGTATTGTGATAAGGTTTAGTTCCGTTTTGAAGGATGGAAAAAATTAGAATTTGCAGAGAGAAGTGAGGAATGGTGGTATATTTGGTTTGAGGATGTTCCACCTATTGACACGGTGTCGTTTTGTTTGTTGGGAGTGGTGGAATGAGCATGATATGATTATGGTGAAAGACAGAGAGGGTAAAGAAAAGTGTGCTGTTGCGTGAGTCGATGCATCAGAGAAACGAGAGAAGGGAAGAGAAGAGGAGCTGTTGCGTTAAAAGAAAAACGGTGTTGCTTTTACGTTTGGATTTTGGTTTTGGCATAAAGGGTAAGAAAGGATGGGTCATGATGGGATTAATCATCCACAGGCATTAGTTGACTATAATGGATTGGTACACGTTCTGTTTCGGTGGCTTCCATTTAATGCCCTACCAATTAGGACGATATAATGAGGGGTAGAGTTTAGGGGCAATATAGTATAAGAATACTTTTTTTTTTTTAATTATGCACTATTGTGTGGTCTCGTCAATTCTTATCGTCAAAAGGGAGAATAATTTTCTTTTGAGAGTTTTCTTTCTTTTTCATCTACTCATTTAGAAAATGTTTTCTTCATGTTACTAACTACCAAACATATGTTAGTTGTATCACTCTCGTGCGCGCGCGCATATATATATATATATATATATATATATATATATATATATATATATATATATATATATATATATATATATATATATATTATCAACAAAATTTATTGTTTTTTTATGATATAAAAAGAAATATTATTATAGCATGATGATCCATTGTTCATTGTTGGATGATTTATTAATTACAAAATATAATATTCTTGATAAAATAATAATTTATATATTTGAGTGAAATAAATACAACATTCATGATTTTTTTAAATATATTATTGTAATCAATTTAATTAATATATAACACACATTTATATCGTCATATCTAATATCTAACATATTATCATTTAAAGTTATTATTAAAACTAATATTGAAAATTAGATATAGTAAAATGCACTTCCTAATCTAGTTTTAATCTAGTTTTACTCAATTATGAGTTAAGTAAAAAAATTGATGGTGTAGTCTGATTTATATTTTAAAACAAACAAAAATTTTTAATTTAGTCTAATCTTATATTAGACTAATAGACTAACAGGATAATTTTGGCCTGATTGAAATTAAAAAAAAAAACATATTTATAGTAAATTAATTAATTAAAAAATATTGAAATTAAAAATAAAAAAATATTTTTAAAATTTAAATTTTATTAATAAAATTAATTTTTATTTAAGATATAATTATTTAATATATAAATTATAAAAGAATACATCTATTTAATTTAAAAATAAAAAGTTATCATTATTTATCTTTTAGTAATTTATTAATTTAAAATAATAATTAATATTAATAATTAGATATTGAAATAAGTAGTTGTTAGAAATTTATTATTATATTTATTCTTAAAATAAGTAAATCTCTTGTAAAATTAATTTATAATATATATATATATATATATATATATATATATATTTTAATAAAATAATATTACTTTTATTTTATTTAAAATAATTATTATTTTATAAAATAGGTCAGCCTATAAGTTTATGGGTTAGCTTGATCTAAACTCATGTAAGTTATGACCCAAATAGGGCGGATAAAAATAAGTCTAATTCAATTTAGACAACTTTTTTTTTATGTAACTTGACCTATTTCTGATTTTTTGAATCGATCCATCGAATTAAGTCTATTTTGACACTCTTATTAAGAACATTTAGAACATTTTTATGCATAGAATACAAACAATTTACTTTAATAAAGATGTTATTGTATTTATCTAAATATGATATTAGTTATGCTTAGTGTCATTTAATTTTTTTTTACAATTAAAAAAATTAACTCAACAAGAGACAAATGAGATCATTGTAGATGAGTCATGTTTATATAAGAAAAAATTATTGCCATAATTTTATTATTTCTCTCTTTTCTCCCAAAATACAAAACATGAAAAATTGTAAAGTATGTTTTAACTATCATACCCAACAATAAATCTCATAATACATACTTTAATGAAACTTTAAAAGACAAAGACTCAAAAGGGAAAAAAAGAAGAAGAAGAATGGTTTGACAAATGAATAGATAGAAAAAGAACATACTAATGAGAAAATATAATTCTAACTTACTTATTTGATAACATAGTATATGTTTCTAATTATACTCATATTAAGTGTTTAACCAATATTCATTATGTAGAGTATTGTTGAATCTGCTCATAAAACCTCGGGAAACAATTTATTGTGTGTTAAAGTCATGAGTGGCTTAGTGAAAAAAAAAAAAAAAACTTGTGCATATGAAAATTTAAGAGGAATATTCAATATTTGTTAGAAATGATACAAATAATTGTATTCTAAAAGTATTGAGAAATAATACTTTGTGATAACAAGTTTAATTAGTGGAACCATTATAAGAGGAGAATTAGATGAAACATAATATTGGGGTGAAGCAATATAAGCTTAATTGTTTCTACCTATTTTTCTCATTGATTTACATTTATTCTTACTTATTACTTTATACATACATAACACACAAGTTTTCTTAAAAAATAAAATAAAATTGTAAAGCCTTTTTCTTTATTGTACAACCTTTTGTGAAACCCCTCAAAGGCAACCAAATTCTTAATGTTAAGAGGACTAAATTGTATTTTAAAACACTTTTACACTTAAAAGCTTTTAAAATTGAAGACAAAAGGAGGAATATGTATCAAGTATTTCTTACTAGTCCATCATTCTTCTCACATCTTCTTGTTAATTTCTACTAGTCTGGTAAGAACATTTGGCGCCCACCATGAAACTTTGATAAAATGATCCCCATGATTTCTTTCATCCCATGGTCTTAACTCGAAGTTAGATGGTTTCAAATTCAAAAGGCGAAATGAATTACAACCATTATCAACAGTCTCAAGAAACATATGGACAAATGTTAACAAAAAATTCATGAAGAAATAAAAAGTTTATAACAACAAAACGATGCTAAACTCATGCAAATTTAGTAAAAAGTGGTTGAAATTTTGGAGTTGGTTAGGAAATACCATCAGGTTGAGCTCCAAACACTACGAAGAAAATTGAAGGTTCTCACTAAACAATCTCAATCAAGTAGGTCAAATTTCAGCTAGAGGATACTGCCAGATCGTGTCATACGCAAACCCATCAATTGTTAGCACCGACCAACAAAACACATACAACAATCTGAAAATCAAAATCGAAGGAAAAAATTTAACTCAAACATAGATTGAGAAATCCCTCCAAACATAATATGAAGCCACCAAGTCAAATCGTAAGGAGTTGTTTCAGGGAGAATGCTAGTTGAGAGCATACTAACGAAGCAACCATTAAAGCCCCACATCAAAATCATCAAACAAACTCACAACAACATACAAAAAAATCAAAATATATAAAGGGGATAGCGATCATCCATTTATTCAAGGAATTATGGAAACTCCTCTATAAACCAATTGGGAACTGCTTATGTTGGAAAAATACGATAGTTCAATAGATCTAAAGGAGCATTTGATAATTTACAAAGCACAAGTAAATTTGTATACAAACAATGGAACAGTCTTATGCCAAGTTTTTCCCACCACGTTACATGGACCGACCCTATGATGTTAACAACATGCATGAGGCCACATCTATGGCATTGGAAATTGTGAAACAGGACAAGGGTGAATCCCTTTACAGTTTCATAGAGCGATTCATAAAGGTGTCAAATTCAATACCAAACTTGAATCTAGTTGTTGTCCTACATGCAAATACAAGTTGCTTTACAATCAAAGCCTTTTATTAATAGTTGTTTCTCTTTTCCACCATTATCTCTTAACAAGTTGTGTGTCTGAGAAGCTAAGTATATCTGCATGGAGGATAACAATACCATGTTTAAAGATAATAAAGTTACCACAAGTGGTCATTTTTAGCCCAAGCCTCTAGAAAACCTAAGGTAGCCAAGTTTGAACTATACACTCCTTAAACTAAAATTGTTGCATGCACCACCACCTCTACCATTTTCGACTCATATTGATACTACAAAGTACTAACATTTTCATTAGAATTATAAGCATATTACTGACTAATGCCAACGAGTCAAATATATAATCGAGGAACTCAGGGGTATAAAACTTTATACCTTACTCGAGGTATTACACCTTACTTGGGGTCACACGAGTATAAAAGTTGTACCTTACTTGTGGTTATAGGAGTATCAAAAGTTGTACCTTACTTGAGGTTACACGAATATAGAAATCGTACTTTACTCTGGATCACATGAGTATAAAAGTTACACCTTACTTGAGGTCAAACGAGTATAAACAATTATACCTTAGGAATCACATGAGTATAAAAGTTGTACCTTACTCAGGATCGCACAAGTATAAAAAAGTTCTACTTTCCTCAAGGTCAAACGAATATAAAAGTTATATCTTACTCGGGGTCACATGAGCATAAAAAATTATACCTTACTAGGGTCACCCTAGTTATAAAAGTTATACCTTATTTGGAGTCACACGAGTTATGAAATTTATACCTTATTCAGGTTCACATGAGTTATACATACCTTACTCAAGTATACGAGTTATCAAAATCTGCATATACCTTACTTGAGATCACACGATTACACATACCTTACTTAGGTATATGAGTTATAAAAAACTGCATCTACCTTACTTGGGGTTACACGAGTTATACATACCTTACTCAAATATACAAGTTATCAAAATATACATTTACCTTATTTGAAGTTGTACGAGTTATACATATCTCACTCAGGTATGAGTTATTAAAACCTATATCTTAAAAAC